GCCGCGCGGATGGTTCCGGGCTGTGCCAGGCCGCTCCGCTATGCCGCGGTACTGTGCCGCGTCCTGCTGCAAGAACCGAGGGGGCCAGAGCGCCAGGGACCAGCGCAAGCTGAGCTTCTACCCGTGAGCGGCCGGGGAGGGCGGTAGGGTCTGGGTGAGGGCTGGCCCTGGGGGTGGGGAACAGCAGAGGGGCCAACCCCGAGTGAGGCGAGGCCTGCAGCGGCCCTCCGGGAGCCGGACTGGGCTAAATGACTGAGAAACTAATTTCACGGGCTGGTATCTGCCTTTGAACCCTGCCTGGTCCCGAGAGGCTGGAGGGAGATAACGCGCTCATCTCTGGGGAAGAGGGGAAGGGAAAGGTGTAGGGGAAAAGGGTCGACAGGCTGGGTGTGCAGTCACACCCCTGCGAAGGCGGCCGGCACTTGCTTAGAGAGGGAGAGGCACAGCAGCCTGGAAGGGCTTTTGAGTAGGTGCAGGGGATTCATAAAGTAAAAAACAAAGAGATCTGAATTTTTTTTAAAAAAATGCACTTACAATCAAGAGGCTGTTTAGCTGTGAGACCTTAGTATTACCGATTACCTTGTTTTTTTCAAGCTTGGCTGCCTTTGTGGAAGGGGTGTTTCAGCAGGGCAGTCATTTCATGGAGACATTGGCTTAACGGTGAAGGAGCTGAGTATCCTGTATTTGACCACTTGCAAGCTAAGCCAAGGGCCGAACAGAGTGAGAAAGCAAACATAATGATTTTTAAAAATTAAATATTCCCCCTAGAATTCTTATCTTGTCTGTGGTGCAAACAGGCATTGCAGGTTTGTTTGGCTAGCTGGAAGCCAACTATCTCAGTTGCCAAAAACCAGTTTATGGTGGCTGCATAGTACTGTCCGGCCACCTGAATGATTAGTCACCATCCCAGGCCCGCAGTAACCTCTGTACTGTTTTGGTTATATGGCTGTTGATTTCCTCAATGGTGAGTTAAAAACAGTGTTTCTCAATCCTGACAGGAGCACGGTGCAGGTACCTAAATATTAACGTATTTCTTTTGAATAAATATATGATAAGCATTTGTCAACAGAAGGAATTTTGTAGCATTTCAGAAAAATTTGAAGAATAAATTTCACAACTAGCCTCAAATCTGTTTTGGTAAAATTTATACCTCAAACTAAGTTTTGTTTCAGTTGCTGAGTAGTCATTGTTATTCCAAGATCAGGAAGGCTATGTAGGAAGACCCACAGGAAGACTGCTTTGAGAGCGATTTTAGTTTTGATTGACAGAAACTCTTTTACCCGGCATGTCTCTAATATGTGATTCATCATAAAACAATCATGAAATTGAGGGGAAATAAATCATTTATATTGCTTTAGAGAATATGAAAGATTAAACAAGTTTGAGTGCTGATACATATTATATTCAAATATATGGCACCAGTATGAAGATGATTGCAAAACCACAGCTGTTTTACATAGCCATTGAATTGTGCTGCATTATGAATATCATGGTCTTGTAGAAGGGGTGCTAAGATTTGATTTATAGAGATCTCTTGGCTTACATTAGCAACTACTACTGATACCAACTGCAAGTTTTATTCCCTTGCCTCCTACCACCCCAAAGAAGTCCTCTCCTGCTCTGTGGTTTTGGGTCTGAGCCCCTTCTGAACTTTTTAACTGTGGCTTAATCTCAGCTGGCCTAACTGCCATTCTTTGTTTTATTTCTTCACCTCTCTGACTTGTGCAGTGGTGGCAGCTACTGAATAAATTCTGTCCACTTCCTCTTCCCATTTGCCTTTTTTTTGTGCCTTGTTTGCACCAGAGAACAGATTATGTTGATGAGTAAGGGTGCTGGTTTTGCCTGGGGTAGAGTTAATTTTCTTTGTAGTGTCTAGTATGAGGCTGTGGTTTAGATTTGTGCTGAAAACAGTGTTGATAACACAGGGATGGATGTTTTAGTTATTGCTGAACAGTGCTTGGACAGAGCCAAGGCCTTTTCTGCCTCTCACCCCACCCCACCCCACCATCATGTAGGCTAGGGATGCACAAGGAGTTGGGAGGGGGGACAGCTGGGACAGGTGACCCCAACTGACCAAAATCCCATACTATATGACGTCACGGTCAGCACATAAAGCTGGGGGAAGAAGGAAAGGGGTGACCTTTGGAGTGATGCTGCTATTGGGTGTACACAGTCTAAGTAGGCAGGATTTGAAAAGCCTGAACCTTTAACCTGTCCTTCAGAGGTTATTTTATTCTTGCCAGCACTATTCCTTGCATTCCTGCAGATACTCAGAGCCAGATGCATCGAAAGCTTTCTCTGTTTCTGTGGTAACTTAAAAACTTAAAGGGCAACACATTCAAAAGGTTGGGTAAGGGGTGAAGACATGTCCTGGTTTGAGCCCAGGGGGCAACTGAGCATCACACAGTTGCTTCCTCACTCCTTCCCCCTCAGGGATGGGAAGGAAACAAAACAAAAGGCTTAGGAATTGAAATAAAGACAGAGATGTCTCACCCATTATGGTCACAGGCAAGAGACAGACTCATTAGGGGAAGAAAGAGAATGTCCATTTAATCTAAACACCAACAACACTTAGTTTAACCATCAAATGGATTAGGACAGTGAGAAGTATAACCATGTCTTAAAAACACCTTCCCCCCACCACCACTTTTTCCCAGGATCAGCTTTGCTTCTAGATTTCTCTACTATCTCCACCATAGCAGTGCAGGGGACAGGGAATGGGGGTTGTGGTCAGTTCATCACCCATTGTCTCTGGGGCTCCTTTCTCCTCAGGGGGAGGACTCCTCACACTCGTCCTCTGCTCCAGCGTGGGGTCCCTCTCACGGGAGACAGTCCTCCATGAACTTTCACCAACACAAGTCCTTTCCACAGGCTGCAGTTCTTCCCAAACTGATTCAATGTGGTCCCTCCTGCATGTTGCAGTCCTCTCAGCGATGCTCCAGCACAGGCTTCCCACAGAGTCCCAGCCTTCTTTCTTCAGGTGCATCCACCTGCTCTGGCATGGGATCCTCCGTGGGCTGCAGGTCAGCATCTGCTCCACTGGTGACCTCTGTGAGCTGCAGGGGCACAACCTGCCCTCTCACCACGGTCTGCAGGGGGGTCTCTGCTCTGTTTTACCTTTCCCCCTTCTCCTCCTTTCTTCCACTGACCCTGGTGCTTGCATAGGTGTCTCCCTCACAACTCCTCCTCTCAGGTTCCCCTTCTACATATGTTACCACAGAGGCAGGTGTCTTTCTCAAAATCAGTTGAGTTGGCAGTTTTGGAACA